TGAACATGACATTGTAATTGTATGTGGTGATTTTAATCAGCCAGGTGTCAAATGGGTCAAAGCCGATGACGGTGAATATTATTTGCCAATTAATGTGTCGACAGAAGGTGGCATTGCTTTTTTTGACACAATGTTCGACTGTGGATTCCAACAACTGTCAAATATCGTGAATCCAGCCGGCAATGTTTTGGATCTTGTATTCACAAACAGGTTCTACGAAATGTCGTTGATTGAATCGACAAGGCCATTGGTAAAATCGGACATTTGGCACAAAGCACTCGAAATGGAAGTGACAATTGATGAAAATGAGATCACATCACCGCAGTTTTCACAAATTTATGCGTATAACTCGGCCGATTTCGATGCGATGAATTCATTCTTCGTTGGAAATCACATTTTGTCAGAAATTAATCGAATAGATGACCTCGAGAATGCATTTCACATTTTTGGAAATGTTCTACACGAGGCGATCGATTCATTTGTCCCGAGGATAACCGTTCAAAGTGGCACTGATCCACCATGGTACACGAAACAATTGAAGCACATGAAAAATGTCAGAAGAAAAGCATACAAGCAAGCAAGGCAGACTGGCAATTTCGACGAATACAATAACATCACGGATTCGTTCATCCAATTACAAAGTCAGTTATTCAAATCGTACATCAGCCGCATACAATCACAAATCAAATCAAATCCAAAACACTTTTGGCGATTTGTGAATGATCGAAGGAAACGGAGCGATATTCCAGCTATCGTTGAGTATAATGATGTGACAGCGAATACCGACACATCGAAAGCGGAATTATTCGCTGATTTTTTCGAAAATCAGTACACACGAAGCGACATTATCGACTTGGATGAATTGCTGGATGAATGTGGAGACGTATCATTTGACTTTGAAATCACTGAAGCCGATGTGTTAAAGGCATTGCAATCCATTGACGCGAACAAAGGAGCCGGTCCAGATGGAATATCACCGAAAGTGTTGAAGAACTGCGCACACTCATTGTCGAAACCGTTAACAGCGCTATTTCGTAGATCATTTCAACAAGGATGTGTTCCAGATGCATTGAAAAAGTCCAGAATTGTGCCAATTTACAAGGCTGGTAAAAAGAGCAATGCAGTGAATTACAGGCCAGTTGTGATCATACCAACAATAGCCAAATTATTCGAAATTGTTGTCTATGCCAAAATCGACACATTTGTTAATGCGCAAATCAGCCACAATCAA